GTGGGATACCAATTACTTGTAATTACTCAAAGTGACAGCTTTCAAACACAGTAACCATCAGGGATTTAAAAATGCTGTAAATTACAGAAGGGATGGAAATTACAAAAGGAAAAAGGATGCAAAATGCATCCAAATTTGCAGATCTGCTGCAAAACCCTTTGATATACACCATCATGCTGTGCATTTTTTCAGCAAACAAATGATGTCCAATACAAAGAGTCTGGTGCAGACATTTGCAAACACATTTGCAAATATTATACATCTGTCTTCTGGCAAGACTACCAAAGGAAAACACTGTGACACATAACCTATATTGAGATAAAGGCATTGGAACGTGTCTCTGTAAACAAAGAAGGCCGGGAATGTTGTTTAAAAATTCATCTGTGCTTTCAAAGACTAATGTCTGTCGTGTGAACGTGAGCTCTGGCACAAAGCCTTGACTTAGCTGCTGATTAAGATCAAATGATCACACTAATATCTATTCTGGTCCAAGTGTCACGTTAACAACAGACAAAAAAAGATGCAGGAAAAGCCCCTATCTGGCTGCTTATAAGTTTTAAAATACTGGCATTCTAATGTATACGCACTGTGAGTCTTCACAGTACCTTGTAAATATATGTGACGCAATACCAGAGCAAAATGTACCATTCCAGCAATGAGATTAAGCATATAATGAATGTGTAATTATTATTAATGATGTGAGGAGACACGAGCTTGACATGAGCTCTTTTAGTTGCTCCGCTCAGAAGTTTATTAGTCTGCAATCATTCTCTGATTCAGGTGAGCCCTGTGCTTGACCTTGCAACAGCTGTTATCAATTATCTGACCACACACTTTCTTTGAATATTACATACTAGTTTTAAAGAATTAAACAAACAGCTTTCATTAGAGATGTGACAGTGGATACAGTACCCCATAGTATGTATCTCCACAGATGCTGGTTCACAGCACTACATCATGTCTGGGCACTATCTTAAAGTGGCTGTTAGAGGATATGACAGTGTGTATGTGTGTCCTTATCATCTCAAATGTCAAAGTCGGCTTTAGTAGATCTCCAAAGGCATCTGGATCACTGCCACCACGAGGCACGAGCTGCACCACTAAGCGTCTTGACATGTGAGGGTGACGTCTTGTTGCTCTCGGGGCAACATCACAGATAAAATAAGACCCCCTCTTTCTCTGGAGCGAGTCTTTTCCAGTCGGGTGATTGCCCTATAGGCTAAGAATAGGCCAGGCATTGGAGTGCTTGAGGAGTGATGCAATGCATCTCTGGCAGAGAGAAAACATACAGCTCGCATACTTTGAAAGGCACACTTACATTTCACAGATTGCTTTCACATGAAGCATCCTGTCACACAGAACTAAACCAAATCAGCTGTTGTGCGTTTTGCCACAGTGCCAGGTTTCACCGTGTTGTAGCGTTCTCTTTCTGTTATGCTTTTCATTCATCTCTGGGCTCTGCAGGCTGACAGGGCTGCACTGCTGC